CCCGACGTTCAACCAGCCGCTGGAACGAGCCGTGGATTCCTAGCACTTTGGCATCGTACTCAAACGAAAATGCACCCTCTTCATGAGCGCCGCGATCTTTGCTAGTCAGCGGTCTGCAGAGAAGAGCGGCAGCTCGATGATGCTCACCATGTAAGGACAACGGCATGCCCCGTCATCTTCAGATGCCTTTGTTCATGTTCAACAGTACCTGTCGTGCCCGTTTGTGTAGCGGCCGCGAACAGAAAGCAGCGAGAGGACACTTTCAACCTCGATGTTTCACAACGACAGCCACAAGTCATTCAACGTGCAAATGCATTGAACGAGAGGTTGGCTCGGCGGGCCAAGCAACAGGCACACGCTACTCAACTCATACGGACTGCTTGCGACGGGGTCTTGTATGTCCAACGGTCTTACGCATCCTGGCCCTATCAGTGCCGTAACAGGTTGCAAACTCGGCTGCCTGACATGGCTGCCTGCATATACTGTTCTTCTGGTGGCCGAGAGCACCGCAGAAACGTTCAGGATCGGCCTCTTTGTGCTTCTGCCAGAGCTCTGCCTGGTAGCTCTTGGCATCTCTGAATGCTTCGAGAAGTGCCGAGGCTGCTGCTGACACGAGCGATTGCATCGCCACCTGCGATGAGCAGTCTGGCACTCCCTAACTCTGATCTGGCAGACTCTGTTCAGCCATGTCGGTGTGAAGCAGGTCGTTGCGAAGCGCTGAGCGTCCAGCCGTTCGAGCTAGCCTCAGCAAATCGTCAATGGCCCATGCATGCTCTGGCCTTGCTCGATGGAAGGCCTCAAAGTCGTTCAGTGGGACCTTGCGGAGGACCACTTTGAAACGATTTCCGCCTTGCCGTGGCAGTCATGTTCCATCGCATAGGGCGGCAAGCTTTATTTACAGCATCTCATGAAAAAAGCTCGTTCATCCGGCATCTCATTTCTGGGACAAGCACAAAGCTGCCCAAGTCTCAACCGGTCCCTTCTGTACTCCATGTCCGATATGCGCACACGCTTGTCCCAAAGCCTGTCCATGGCAACCACAATGACAACACTGACTGCAAGACATGTTGGATCTCCACGCACAGCTGCTCCTGTGAAGCACACTTCGGCGCAATTGATCCATGGGCAGGCGGTGAGCCTCAACCATGGAGCCACAAGCGCGCAACCGATATCAAGCCTTCAGAATCTGTACGGTGGTATCATGAGGTATCATGAGATGTGGAGGTCTATTCAATCTGCATCGCTGAAACGACGCTTAGGAGCCGACACAGATCTGCTGAACGGTGATTGCCTAGGCTGGGCAGGACGGCATGGGAGCACAGAACTCCTCAAAAGCTGCCAGCTCAGGCTGACGCACGTCTGTCCTTGGTGCCTGCAAAGGTGAACTGCTTCACCTCGCCGGGGCGTGTGGACCCTGGTTGCAGTAGCTCAGTGCTTGTTGCAAAAGCCAGTGGAGGTTGTGGGCAGACTCGAGGGAAAGTCTGCTGGGAAGAACTGCTGGGCGCACGGTTCTGAACAATGGGGAAAAACGTCTCGCGTGAAGATTCGGCAGCTTTCTGCAAGCAGATGAACCTCTTGTGAAGTCTGGTGCTGCACGCAGGCTAGGCGAGCTTGAACAAAGGAGGTAAATCCTACCATCGTAGCGAATTGTACAGAACATGCGCGATCGTAGGGGTGGCAATGCCGGGCAAGATACTACGTTTTACCTACGCATTGAAGGACGGATACCCGGTCCAACCTGTTCTTCTTCGGCACCTGCAATAAGGAAGCTAACACTTAAAGCTAATACGGGGACCTGCGTGAGGACCGAAAGACAATTTCACACAGCGAAGCGTGGAGTCCTCGTTCCCTTCTCCGCACCTCTAAGTTTGCGCAGTGGGAGACACCATGAGGCTCCGGCAGATCTTCCAACGCAGCGTGCAATGCTGGAAATTGCCTCCCCTGTGTCGCAGTTCCTCGGATATGAAGTTGCATGCGAAGGTAGCCCGAATAGTTCAAACGTTCTCGACCAAGCCAAGACTCTCCTTGTACAGGCGGAAATACAGGTAGTCAGGTCTGTCCTGTTGGCACCCAAACAAGCTCAGCGACGTTTCGAGAATCTGTGCGACTTGCCAACTAAGTCTGAAACTTTCGGCCAGCCCTCTCTTCTCATTGCACCGAAAGCCGACGGGACAGTTTCCGATGGAGGCCCTTCCGTGGAGGACATGGAGATCCCTGCACGCTTCTAGCAGATTTTAGCATTCTAGCAGGTGTCGTGCCTTCGCCCTTGCCACTCTTCCCCTTGCTCTTGCCTCGCCCTGTCTCTGTGCTAAGGAATGCCTGCATCATAATTGCTTGAGCGGGCCTTTGCCAGCCTTTCCTTTTCCTTTCTTGGCTCCCTTGCCAGAGCCTGGCACAAAAAATGTTTGGCTTTTCTTGGCCAGGCTTTGTGCTTGGCATGCTCCTGAAATCCTGGCCAGTGCGGCTGATGTCTCTGGACCTTACTAGTAGCTAATCTATCTACTCCTTGCCATACAACAACGCAACCACAGCCGGCTCTGTGGGATTGGCGAGGCTGCGGTCGGCGCTTTGGCCTTCCGCTCGGCCTCTTGGAGAAGCATCGAAAGACAGCTGATGGCAGCTGCTCTGCACAGACAGGCCCTAAGGTGTAGCCTCACGCATCCAAACGCGGATACATCGGCTGCCATCGGCCTCGACCTTGAGAGCAGGCCTTCTCACCCTCGCTGAAAACAAGGGTCAGCAGCCAAGAGCCGCACTGTTTCTGTGTTGAGAAAGCTGGAAAAATGCTTCAGAACGACTTGGTGAGCCTTTTTCCGAGCCTCGTCACATCCACTTCAAGGCACCAGAGGTTGCGGCCTCCTCCTGAGCCTCCTTGGATCCATCGCTGATCTCTTCAGTGCTCAGGTCCACCTGTGTGGGGAATCGCATCTGTGTCCGTGCGCCTGTCTGAGAGCATGCTCCTTGCTAGCCAAGTCTGCAGGCGGGTCGCATAGCCGGGGGGCTCCGCCACTACGGCCTTCTCGTCGGCGGACACTGCCGGAGAACCCTCCTTTGACGCTTCCGCCGGCCCCTTGCATGAATGCCGTGCTTTCAACATTGGCAAGCGGGAAGATCACCACGAGATTGGCCTGGCCCATTACAGTCTGCTGCGACTGCTGCTTCTTCAGGAAGCCTGCCATCATACAGCGTGTCACAGCCGGGATCTACCAACCGGGAACCCGAACAGGCCGGGCTGGACCGAGAAGCTGTTCTAGGATCCTTTGTCCCAATGCTTCTCGCAATTCCTTAAAAGTTTATGTAAGGAGCAGCCGTCTGAAGTCTTCAACTCTTTCTGACTGCTCAGGCTCAGAGCTGGGCGTTTTCTGCAGACGCCTCGAAGGCAAAGTCTGGACCCAAAGCGCTTCGAGCTTCTCGTCGCCTTGGCATGCGGACTTTTGGAACCCGATGCTGTGCGAGTCACTGCAAGTCTTGCGACTCCGGGTGGTAAAGTAGGGCGAGCTCTCCTCGGCTGCTTTCTTCAGCTCCGCGGCCACCGCCCCAGGACTGATCAACTCGCTCAGGTGCAGCTCCACCTGGGAGTGGACGTAGAAAAAGCGAGTTAGGCCTTGAGCGAGATGGGGAGCAAGGGCCGAGGGCCGAACACCATGTGGGTCAACCTCGTGCACGTGGAAATCCTGCATCGTCTGTCGGCCCATCTATCTGCATCTTCTCGTTCTATTTATCCTTCTACTTGAGAGCAGCGCAGACGAAAGCTAGAGGTACGGAGGGGGCAGCAGTGCATTGCAAATACGAGCTGATGCTGTGATGCTGGTAAGTGAATGTGAATGATACAGTGCTCAAGGCGGTGACAGGGCTCTCAGTGGTTGAGGACGGGGCTACGCGGCTACCCAATCATCCGATAGCCCTTGTCAGACGGCCTGCAATCCTGGCGCCTGACCTCCTCCGTCTCAGCACTGGCAGAACCCCTCGCATTTACTGGCTCCGCCTGTGTTCAACTCGCCTGCGCTCCTGCGACTGCGGCTGCTTATGGTTTTCGGCTTGGTGCTCGCCTTTGCGCGAGCTCAGACAGGGTCCACTCAAGTGGATCCCACATTGAGCATGCCCAACGGTAGCCCAGTAAAGTTTCGAGCTTGTCTCCCCCCAGACTTCCCCTCTACGGTTGTACTGGTGCAGCGTGCTGTTGACCGTAGAGGCAACTTAAGCATGCATGATGCATCGAACTTTGGAAAATGTTGCAAATCGAAGTGACCTTCGTTCAAAAAACTCCGACCTGGGTCAGGCTGCGGGTCTCAAGGCTCAGAAGTTCACGGGGGCTGTCTCTCCGTCTTTCTTGGTCTCGCTCGTGCTTTACCGGTGCAACATGTCGCAAGCACTCCTGCCACAGCGACTTGAAGATGCCTCACAGCCGACATGCATGTTCTCTTCGCAGTGCTACCATTACGCGCAGTCGTCCGCGCCATACACTGAGTCGGCCACCGGAAAACCCGGGTACGTCTGGAGAAAAGTATTCCGAAATCCCGACCTCTCACCACGAGCGGAAGTTCACGTAGCTTCGGAGTGCTTCACAGAGATACCCCTAAAGCTGCCTCATCTTCTCTCGGAGGAGTCGGAAAGAGCATGGTGGAGTATGCCACGTTTCTTTCTTGGTGCATGTGCTGTGGTACTCTGAGGGATATGCTATTCCCAGCCCGGCAAGCAGCATGAGTATCCGGTTGGAATTCCTGTGAGCTGCGCGGTTCCAATCTGCAGCGCAGTGTTTCGAACTCTCGGCGACTGGCGCAGTCAAAGAATGCAGACCTTTTCATGGCGACAACGCTTCAGCAGCTGTCTAGGTCCAAATTATCTGTGCACAACAATGCTACATGTTTCTACATTCGTAGACCCTGCTACGACGGCAGGAGCGAAAACTGCAATCGATGCAACCTCAGTCTGTGAAGTACTGCAAGTCGCGCTCGTTGATATCATTGCGGCTGTGCCGTTGCAAAACTGCTACACTACACCTATGAAAAGTAGGACAGTTTGCCCTTGTTGTCATTCAGCAGCTCGAGCTGCGAAGATGTCAGCTTGTCTTGGCACTCCTTCCATGTCTGTTGGCTTGATTGCTGCAGTTTCAGAAATGCCTGGATGGCAGATTGCACCTCCTTGCGAGCTGCCTCCTGTATGCCTGGCTTTCCATACGGCGCCACGGTCTGAATTGCGAGGCCAGACCACTGTGGCACGCCGCAATCTGCAGCTGCCAAAAGCATGCAGGCCATCGTGCTAACGACTGAGCAGAAGTCGCCATTTTCTGGTTTAGTCTCGTCACGCTTGCCGGGAGCTCCTGCCATGGATTTGAGCGATTTGAGGCGCGAACGAATCTCCGGCTCTGCTTCCACAGTCAAGAAGCTTGCAACGGCACCGCGCGACGCTGTTCGAATTTCAGGCTTACTGTTGCCCAGAGACCGCTCTGCAGCTGAGCGCAGCTCGGAGTACAGAGAGCGTGCTTCAGGACCACCAGTAAGAAGCACAAAGAAGTTTGCCATTACAGCTGGCTTCAGGCCTGCTGCCAAGGCTTTCTCCAACTCCTTCTCCGGAATGCCATCGATGACAAGGGATTTCAATGCTTTCACCATTGTCAGTTTTGTCCAGTGCTTGTCGTGATTAGGACTGGGCGCGACTGGGTGCGCAGCGCAGCACAAAGAAAGGGCGTGTGGGGCAATCGCTCGAAGCTCGAGGTCCCCATGTGCAGCTGCTGCCACTAGAAATCCCAGCAGTTCCGAGGCTGACTCGCGAAGGCGAGTCGAAGTAAATCTTGCCAACGATGCATGCAGCAGCACGTAAACTAGGCCCGAGCTCTCGACGACATGTTTCGGTCTCACGGCCTCATCTCCCTCGCTTGTGTGTGCTGCATTATCAGCCTGAAGCAAAGGTGTAAGTCTTTGTGCTTCTGCGCAAAACCAGGTCTCCAAGTGCGCAGACACCAACTTCAGTCCGGTCTCCGGCGTTGAGTCGGAGTCGGACTTTTGGTGGCTGGCCGCCTGGACGATGAAGAAGAGGCCCCGAGCCACCTCTTCACGGAGCTGCTTGTACGGGTGACCTAATCCCTGCTCCAATGTCTCCACCAGCTTCCTGCAAAAGCTCTCGTTCTGCGCCAAGATCTTGGTGGCAGAGGGCTCGATTAGCAGAGACATCAAGAGCCGCAAGCGCTTAAAGGAGTCGAAGGAGGAGCCTTTGTCACCGTCGGACAGCTTCTCATCGTACTCAAACCTGGGAGCATGATCGGAAGGGTTCCCGTCGACCCCAAAAGAGGAGTGAGTGCAGAGAAGGAGTCATCAGAAAGCCTTTCCCACAGCATCTCCCATACCATGCACCAAGGCAGCAACCTCGTCAACCTGTGCTTAACATCCGGCCTCAAACCCGACTTTCAAATGTTGTCGTTTGTGTTCTCTCAAGTGGAGTGGTTTGGGACAGAGGCCACATCCACTACCAACAGCATGAAGGGCCAGCACGGCCACGGTGGGTTTCTGCGACCGACCTGGAACATGGTATCCATATTAAAGACACCAAACCAACTTCTAGCCCTATCCGTCACTGTGTCGTTGTGCACCTGAGCATTTAGGCGTGTACATGCGTATCTAACCTTATCTTACCTTACCTTTTCTCTAATCTACTTTGACCTGGCCTCATTCTATTCTGTGTTGATTCTAATCCAATCTAACATCTAACCTAACTCTCCATGCATGCCTGTACTTGTAGTCTTATATAACGTATGTACATAGGCATGTATGTAGTATGTATGTATGCGTATGTACTTGCATATGTCTGCACCGTATGCTTCGCACTCCGTGAACACGTGCCTTCATGTACGCACATGGAAAACCAGTTTCCTGAACCACCTCTTCTCGCACACTGTTGGCCACTGGTGTTTTGCCACTCGGGCAACATTCCCCAGAAGAGTGCCTGCGTTCCACCGCCACGCTTTGCCGCACCCCGGCATACCCAAGCATTTGCAAAGGTCAGAGGAGCCATACCTCCAACAAGGCAGCTGCGCCTGCTAACGGTAGGGAGGGCTGAGACTTGTCACCAACCCCAAAGCTCGGGGGGACGCCGCCGGCGACACGCGGAGGCCGTGCAGCATTAATTGGTGGCACAGAGGACGCTAGCTGTGTCTCCTCCGCTGGCACCTCTTCACGGGAAACATGTGAACTAGAATGGCGCGTGAACCTAGAAGACTATTGCGTAGGTCGCGCGTGAGAATCAGGAAAGCCTTGCAGGTTCGGCTAATCGCACATGTTGCATGGACCGATCTTTCTTCACCGTTTGTGTGAGGACCCAACTTCGCACGGTGGGTCATTGGGGGCCAAGACTTGGAATTTGGGAACTGAGTGGACTTACCCCTATTTACCCCTGCCGCCCTCGCACGCAGCGATCTCTTGCCTTCGTGGCCTTCGTCTGTGTGGCCACCACCTCTGTGACGATACACTGCTTAAGACTCGGTGCACAACCGGGGTCTAGCATGGCATCTGAAGGACCTCTTAAAGTTCCGCAGCTGGCTTGACTGTTCTTTGTGCATGCATCCACGAACGATTTCAAGTTGAACGAGACTAGGACGCGCGGCGACAAGCTCCATGCCAGGAACAATAATTTGGGACAGTTTCGGAGCCTTTTGCGGTCCTTATGGGCCGTGTTGTGGCAAATCCCAGCAGGCGTTGCAAAAACTGCAGCTGGGAGCACTGCGCCTGACATTCAGGAACGATTGAAACAGCTGGAGAATTGCTAACAAAGCTCGCTTGCCAGAGGACTGGAAACTGAGTTGGGTGACTCTAGGAATCCAATCGAATGCCTGTAATCATGTACAAAGGCATGTCGTGCCCTACCGAAACAGGCAGAACTAAACATTCATGATTTATGACTATCGACTATCGGGTGACAGCGGTGTCGAGCATCTGGGCATGTTACACTCGTCCACTTGCAAGTCCGGCAGTTTTCGGCTGTCGTACTAGATTGTGAGATCATCGTCTGCTTACACTGTGAAGCTTGCCCGCCCAGCTGTCGTCAGACCGGTTGGGCCTGTGCGTTCAATTGCCTTATTAATTACTTCTTTCCGACGGATGCAATGCCTGTCTCTGGCTCTCTCTCCTTCCTTCCTTCCTTCCTCTCTCTCTCGAGGGCAAATTTCGCAGGCAAGCAGCCGGATGGGAGGGAGCGTGCAGCTTAACGTGTCGAATGATAGCTCGCCTTCGCCCCCCACAACGAAGTTGAACAGAGGGGTCAAGTACTGCAAGGCCCCTTGTGGCTCCACGAGTGATTTTGATGCAAACATACGGGAGAGATCTGGCCGGGAGTAGCCAGTCGCAATGTAGCGAACTGCGTCGCACCACGTCCCAAGACGTTCTTCTGAAGACTGCTGCAGAGCGGACAGAAACAGTGGCCGCAGCTGGTTCCACAGATTTTTCTGGAGCTCTAGCATCTCCGGCTTGCGCACAGCTCGCAGCACTCCTGCCGAAAACTCAGCGAAAGCAGCATGGTACTCGGCTTCAGCAACGGGCTGAGATGCCAGCTCCTCAGCTCCTTTTTGGAGCAGCTCCACCAGTTCTTGACGGCTCAACAGAGCCGTGAGCTTTTTTGCATAGCTCTGCCAGAACAAAGCATTTTGAAGCGAGAAAGCATGTGATGATCTTCGCAGCCAAATTCTGGGCCAAACATCAAAATAACCATGATGAACCATCACATTCACCGGTCCCCTCGTGGGCTCACTCTTCTGCCCCACCTGGTCATCTGCCGTTACCATCAATTCCTCATGGTTCAATGGTGGCAACACCTTCAAGAGATTGTTATAAAAGGCCGCATCCTGCACTCTCAGTTGTGCGAACTCCGACTGGCTGAGGGGAGATACTTTCAGCATGAGCTGCAGGCCGTGCACAGCCAGTGCATGCAGCCCAGGCTGGCCTTTCGGGTCCATGCACTTCACGAGCCAACGCCCCCACTGTGACCAAACCATCTTCACTTCGGCGGTCTCCTCCACGTTCGAGCCTGGCGGAAGGCCCAGGCTGCCGAATGAATTCAGCAAAGCAAGGCTCATCGTTGACGCCATGATCTGTGCTCTCCAGTGGCAATCTCCACGTTCGCACATCTGCAAAGCTTTTGCAACTGTTCGAACTGCCTTCATTCCACGAGCGAGCTTGGAAGCTGCCGGCTCAGATTCATCAACAGTCTCGTCTTGCAGTAATGGTGTGTCGGAGCGCTGACGTGTCTCCGCCCAGCACTGAACCTCACGGCAATCGAGCCAGTGCCTCATAGCCGAGATCAGTTTTGCCACAGTGTTGGGCTTGACTTCGCACTTCTGCTCTTTGGCGTCGCTTGGCGGGGAAGCGCTTCCGGACTGAGCATTCAACTGCGTTGCCGCATAGATGGCTTCACAAAGTCCAAGCCCGACCGTCGCAGCATCATCAATGCCTTGGTGCTTCCAAAGCTACAGAAGGCGGCGACATGCAAGAAACTAAGCGCAGCCTAAGCCCTCAGCTTTCACTGAGGCAGCCACCACGCCGCCAGACAGCACCTATGAGGCCATTGATTCGCCCGCCGAGTGCTGACGCAAGACCACACAAGGAATCGTTCAGACGCTGCTGCTCCTTGTCTGCACCATCACCCGTCAGGGAAGAGCACTGGGCTGCTGCCTGAGTCTCCTTCGCCAATGCAGGCAGCAGAATATCACGAACCAGAGGCCATCGGCCGCCCTGATGATGCTGGATTGACATGGTGACAATCTCAAGTGCTCTAGCACGGACTTGTTCAAAGCCACTCGTAAAAATCTGTCTCGCCACTGCTTCTACCAACTTGCGGCGCTGTCCGCAATAGCGGAAACCGGATCGGCGCTCGTGGACACGACCTTCCATGGTTTCAGCGATGCGCTCCACCCACCACACCCGGGGAAGATCGCGCCATCTCGAGTGAGGGTGAAGCTGATCCATGGATGTGGAATGCCAGGCAAGGGCCTGAGCTTCCTTGTCGACATGGCGCAGGCTCGGGAAGAGTCGCAGGCTGCTTGGGTGGACGTCTCTCCACGCACTGCTCAGCTCGGCCACGCACTTGAGAAGTTTCCGCATCACCCTCGAAACGTCAATCTGGTCCAACTTACCGGCTTGAGCAACACCGTACTGTTCTTGAACGGCCAGTTCGTTGAATGCAGACAAGACAACCGGGAAGAGCCACCCATAGATAGTCTCCGCAGTATTGCCAGCCACCTTGAGGTTCTTCGGCAGCTGCCTTGCCTCAAGTTCATCGCTGCTGCGCTCGTCTGGCCACAGGTCAGATGTGCCCCTCAAAACCTGATTGACAAGGCGGGTTGCGAGAATAATACCATACGCGAACTTCTTCTTCGGTGGCAAGCTAGTGGCCAACCCATCGAGCCAGCTGGGACCCTCTGGAAAGCCTCCTCCACTTAAACTTGGAACCTCGATGATGGAGCTAAGGAGTTTGCCAGCTTGGTCGAGGGCCCCGAAGACCAAGCTTCGTGCCCATGCCACTTCCTCCTGGGAGGGCACATGCCAGCTGACGGATGCTAGGGCGCTTGGAGAGGCCTCCTGCAACCACCAGGGCCCTTTGACTCCCGACCATAGCAAGCATGAAAGAGCTGCTCCGCCTGGTGCGCTGCTGCCGCGTCGACAGCCCATCAACCCCTGCCACACACTGGAGTCACAAAGCCTGTAGTCCGTCTCTACATAGATGGCCGTGATCGCATACAGGACGCGGCGGAGAAGCTTCATGCCAAGCTTCGTCACCGCCTCTCGCTCATCCAACAGTGCAGATCTGATCACAAGCTCCAGCTGCGTCTTGTGCGCAAGCAAGCATGACCCACCTGACCGTACCAAGGCGCTGAGAAGTGACAAGAACCATTTGGCTTCACTCTCTGAGACCCCTATTTCATGAAGTGGTACTGCTGTTGATCGACTCGCAAGAATCTTCTTGAAGAACATCGGCAGCATCATGGACAGCGAGATCTCCGGAGATGCACGCGCAATCGCAAATAAGACCTGGCCAGCAGGTTTCACTTGATCTGGTAGTAGGTTGGTGCTGACAAACTGGGACACCTCTTCCACCATCTGCTTGTACGTTTCTTTGTCCGTCTGGGTGGCGACGAGGCAAAGAGCTCCATGCAGCAGGCCTGTGCAAGTACCCTCCATTGAAATCTTGCCTTGTTTGGCACCTCGTGGCTTTGGAATTCTTGTGACATAGTCGCAGGCACGCTGAACAAATTCGACTGCAAAGGCAGGCAGCATGGACGAAACAATGCCGGTCGCACTGTAGTCAGGGTCCCCACTCTCCATTTGGGCATCTGCTGGAAGTGGCCACTGGATGTGGCGGAAAGCGCTGCCCGTGGGTTTGTCTCTGAGCTCCCAGTCATTCATGTCTAAGCACGGCATCTGCGAAAATACTGACGTCAATAGCCTCAAGGCACACATTGTCTTTGACACATCAGTGGGGTCGATCCCCAGCAAGGTCAAAGGGAGCAGCTCTCCAACCACAGCCGGCATTTGGCAGGTCAGAGCTGGCATGATGGAGACGAAGACCCGCAGAAGCGTAGCATGTCTCCCAGACATTGACGGATCATTCAGCACCTCAGTAGCCTGCACGACCATCGACTGGAAGTCGACACGAAAGGGGTCAATGGAAGAGGACGGATCAAATGCAACCAAACCTGGCTGCATTGCGGAAATTTTGGTCAGCCTCGACAGATTGTCCAGCGAAGTTACGACCTCATGTGCTGATCGCACGGTCAACAGGTCACGCACCAAAGGTAGCAGTAGCTTCAGGAAGGCTTGGTCGGCTGCTGCTGTCAGATGCTGAGCCTTTGGGGCAGTCGTGGCCAGCAAACGCTCTCGACTGATCCGCTTGAAATACTGCGACGTTAGGTTGTGCATAAGTGTTGTGCAGTGCCATAGCCACTCTCCCTGCGAAGTTGCGGGTGTGATGAATGGCCGCATGCGACGCAGGAGCAATGTCAGAAGCGTCCATATGTTCGATGAGGAAGGTTGCGCTGGGGGAGCTGGTTCCAGCAGGTATACCAGAAAGATGGCGACCTCCCTCCAGGCAGTCTGGCTGCCCATGAAAACAGCATCAACCTCTTCCGGAATTGGGTAACGGTCCAGATCTGGAGCCCTCTCCCCTTTATTTCCATCGACGGCCTTGGCAGCCGGAGATCCGAAGGGAATGCAAAGTGTACGAGCAATCTTGTTCATGAGATACGGGAGCTGCTCTTGAAGCTTGCTGAAACACTCGGCAGCCCTGCCCGCGGAGCCCGTTTGGCTCAAGGCATCCTCAACCTTGTTTGCCCAGTGGAGCTCCGCATATCTGCCCAGCGAGTGGAACCACATGAGGTCAAACTTTGGAATTAAGCCCTCTGGCAGCCTTGACCACCAGGACCACAATCTGCCATCCAAGATTATTTGCGGTGTCATAGCCCTTGGTGTGGTGAAGACCAGCATCTTGGCGTAGACGAGAGAGTACACGTGCAAACTATCAACTTCCTTGGCCAGTTCAGCCGTTAGTTCGACTGCATCTTCAACTGGAATGCAACCATGGAAGTTGGCGAATGTTGAACAAACGTTCACAAGTTGCAGTACGTAGTTCCTGCGCTTTGAGTTGCTTGCGGAACAGTCGGTCCGTGGGCTTTTGCGGACTTCCTCAAAAATCAAGCGAAGAGGTACACGCACATCCACTTCTCTCCGAAGAGCATCTACCTGAGCAATCTCCTCTTGATTCGAAACCTCGTCCCGCCAAATTGGCAGGACGTGCTCTGCATCTGTGAAGTGCAACCAAGTCCTGAAGCTCTCGAGGATCTTGGCGCTGGCAGAATATCCGTACAACGGGCGTCCAGGCCGTGATGTTGAGCCTGCGATGATCAGCTTCCAAAGCGCACGGAGCACTGCGAGCTTGAAGTCGAGTGCAGTCGGTGCCTGCAGTTCCTCCAAGATCTTCAAACACTTCAAGCCGAAAAGAACCTCTGTAGAGTCCGGAGGCGCTGGATCGCCTTGTCTTTGAGCAAGCGCCCACAAACGACGGCCCATAGGGCCACAATGAGAGAAGGTGCTCAAATACTGCCAAGGCGCAAGACAGGAGCCGGAGAACAAAACCCTGCCGGGCCGTGGTGTCCTCAAGAAACCCGTCTCGGACTTCCGCCGGAAGGTACCTTAAGTTGCTGCTTTTGTGGCCACGGGAGACAAGGAGTTGCAATGCTTCGACAAACAGGCAACGACTTGCTTTCTCAGCCTGAGTCGCTGTGGAAACTTGCTGAGCTCTTCCATCTTTTGATGGTGCAGCTTGCTTTCATCTTCACCCGCTTGTGCCATTTTGGCACTCTGCAACGAGCAGCGACTACAAATGATTTCCTGCCGAGGACCTACTTGTAAGACAGGAGCTGTAGCCACTGTATGGTGAGATGGCTGGCATGTGTAGCTTAACTAGCGAAGTTGGCTGCAGAATGTCATGTCTCCTCATGGATGACTCTGGCCAAAGGCAAAGCACACAAAGCCAAACTGAATCCACATTGGGGTGTGACGGCACGTCGACAAAGCTGCGAGCGAACAACCGTTGCACCAAAACGGATAGCCTAATCTTCCTCCCGTCACCAGCAAGGCAGCTGCAACTGGGGCCCCCAAGCGAGGTACTGTACAGGTTGCCCAGGTTCCTGGGCGAGAGAGGCCCCGCATGAGTGTGAATTAAGCCCTTAAGCATCGCAGCACTGGCAGCGCTGGCAGGTGTCTGCCAATGTCTGCAGATCCGAGGCTTGGATTCACGGCTTTATTCTTTGTAAGCCGATACATCCATGCGCGCAAAGGCTGCTTCGGCAAACCCTGCACGAAAGCGGTGCGTGAGACATGACTTGGCCATGTAGCGCCGACGCCCCGATCTCACTCCAGCACTGTCATTTCCAGATCCTGCCAAGCTGGTGGGCTTAGGGCCTCTCCTGTGGCCGCATCAACTGGTAGCTTGGCCCTCCTCTTCCTCTAACGGCGACCATTCGGCCTCCTCCTCCGGCACCAAGGCTCTCTCAATACCACGCACCGTACGTTGAGGCTGTCGACGACGGAATCTGACAAGCAAGGGTCAAGCCTTGCACTAACCGAGAGACGGAGCCCTTCCAGTGCTGAGGTTCCTACGCAAAGAATGCCACACCAGCCGCAAGCAGACCACCACCCAACATCACATTCCTTCGTCGTTACAGGCCGTAACCACCCAACGCAAGTTAGGAGGCATTGACTGATTCCTCTGCTTCCTATAACAGTAAAGTGTCGCACCAAACGGCAACCTCCATCTCCATGGTAGCTGAGCATAAGCAGGGAGAACCTCCCAGTAAAAGGACCTGGGCGCTGGACAGCACAAGCATGTGTCTTTCATCTATTTATATGGCCAAAAGCAGCGCCAACATGTGAAGGCGCAGAAACCGACAAAATTAAACTGAGGGGCTGCATGGCTTTCTCGCCGCACCTGCATGCAGCATCAGAATTGCTCTCAGCTGTCGTACCACAAAGTCCAACTTCGATTCTGCTCAAGGCACTTTGGTGGTCCGGATATTGCTCCTGCAATGCCATCCATGACCACGGCTCCAGCACCGGCAAGGGCACAAGTTCTGAGAGGGAAGGTCACCTCTAGATCGCAGTGACGCCATGAGTCTTTCCGGAATCCTGCATGAATGCATCTCAGAGGGGCTGTAAAGTGCTCGCAGTTCTCGTTCTCACGGCAGAGTTTTTGGCATTCCCTCGCATTCGGGCGGGCATTCATGATAACGCCAGGACTCGTGCACACTATCAAGACGGAATCAGGATGTAAAGCTAGCTCCAGTCAGTGCAGCCGACCGACAGCACAGCATCTTGCTCCTTCGGAAAGTCCTGAACAACAAAGGCGACATGTGCCTTTTACTTTAGGAATAGGGGCGCACCCACTAATCGCGCGCTTGCGTCAGCATGTATGTATACCCGCCCCAACCACCCCAACTATTCTCAAGTAGGGTTTAGGGTTCACCCCCCAAACCCCCTTCAAAGGGGGGCTTTCTTGCTTTCTGCTTCCCCTCGCAGCTCGCGTTTCACAACAAACCACAGCTGAGATGGATTAGAGTCGGGTTGTGGGTCCTCGCGGCCTGTGCCGGCCGCTCGACCAGAAGCAGGGGTTCCCACCAAACAACTCGCTAGCGGCGAAGACGAGGGGCGAAAGCGAGAGGTTAAAATTCGAAAGACGATCGAGCCGAGACGCTGATCGAGCCGAGAGGCTGTGCCCGGCCGATCGCTAGTGCTTGTTGCCGCTCACACTCCCTGTGCTGCTACACACAGTATGACACTCACGCCTTAAAGCGCTGTTTCGCTTATTTCTGGGCAGTCCTTGGCGGCCAAAGTGGTCAAGGCGCCAACTGTTTCTGAGAAGGATCTCCCCCAGGACATGCAGGCAAAGTCGACCGGTACCTTGGATCGCCTACTGAATTTGTGACACACTCCACACTCGCCAGACTTCGCAACGAGTCATTAGGAGGCAAGGTGCGTAAGTGTTGTGGCCCTTGTCAATCAATAGGCTTTTCTCCTGAGCTATGCTGCTCCATGCATATGCCCAAGCACAGCCCGTCAACCCCGCCTCCATATCAGCCCAGCATTCTGGGGGTCCTGAAATCCACGATGGGCTGAAGGCCTCAATCGCAGGAAGGCGGGAATGTCTCGAAGCAGCCTCGTCCGTGCTTGGCTTCTGCCGCGCCTGTGCGAGCGCGGAAAAGCCGGCCAAGTGGCAGCTGCCCTGTTCCAAGCCTGGAGCAACCAAGAAGGAGAAGTGAAAGCCTCGGGGATGGACGGTCTCTTTCAGAGCCGGCACGAAGCCTAACTCATCACTGCTACAAGTATGGTATCAGAGACAGTCCAAGGCACAGCCCTGTTGCTCAGAACATCTCTTCCTGCAATCTCCGATGGTCGTCAATATCATTGGAACTTCAGGCATGTCCAGAGGCATGAAGGAAACCTGGCTTCAACCCACATCTGTTGGTTGTCAGGCATGACTCATTTCTGGGTGCCTATGCCTATGCAGTGCATCGAGCATCATCGAGCAGTCTTAAGCTCAACATGCCAAGCACAGGGGTTCCGTCCAACAGCTAGCTGCTAGGACGATACTTGAAGCGAAGCGCATCGCTTTCTGCACACTTGAGTGAAGACGGCGTTGTCGCGTGGGGCCCGGCGACTGGTATTTTGATCGCTGTGGTTGTCGTGGTTGTCGCCTCAGAGCTCGAAACTAGAAGTTCCATACCATCAGAAACACCACAATTCTCAAAAGCCATGCGAGTCTTGAGGGCCCAACATACTGGGTAATCACTGGCGTCTCCGACGACAAAAACATCTTCAGTTCTTCCAGAGCCTTGTGGCATCTTTGGGCACTGGCGGATCGCGTCTGCTAAATCAAAATCGGCCTCATGCAAGCTTCGGTCCACAGGGGCCGAACTCCAAGCGAAATAGGCCGCCCGCTTCCTGAGAGTCGCTGCCACCAGGCTGCGATCGTGGAGCAAAGCAAAGCGGTGGAAGCAAAGGAGCATGTTGAGCCCCGCCAGGCCCAGAGCCGCAAAGCGGTGGTCCTGGGACGCTGCACCTTGCGTGACGCTCTGGGGCACTGGGGCAGCGTCTGAGATCGTCTGAGCCCGTGACGCCGCAGGAATTGCTCCATGTCGACCGTGCTCCTCCTGCACATCCATGGCCACTGAACCGAGAAGTTCCCTGTCCGCAGAGGCGCAGGCCGTGAAGCCACCAAAGCCATGCCATCATCTGTGAGGTCTGCGCTGGAAGGATCCGATGTCCCGTCGCCTGCCGAGTGCTGCGACGGAGCAATCGACACGACTCGAGAGATATTGAGGTCCGAGGTCCAGGCAGGTGTTGGTGTACAAACAGCAGCCGTCGGATGCAGAGCCGCTCTTGCAGCGAGGCCTTCGACAAGCAATGCTCTGTGATGCCAACGCATCGCTGACTTCACACAACGACAGCCAAGGCTCTTCGGCATGTCCTTGGTCCGGGAGTGAACCACGAAGAGGGCTTGTGCAAATGCTTTGGGAATGCGCTTGCAACTGCTGCTTGCGTTGCAATCAGAGGGAACAGAAAACACATAGGACTAATCCAGACACACGCGTGTCATAATGCATTTCAGCCCAAGTTCTGCGTAGGTGGGAGAGCTTAGGATATCCAGCGGACACCAAGGCTTTGGTGCCACTCCGTCCACAACACCTCTGAAATTGTGATAGGGTCCGGCCATGTCGAGCCATAAATTCATTGAATTTGCGATTTCGACACACGCCTGGAATAAAGCATCGGTCGCAGGCTCCATTGTAGCTCCGTGTGCCTGCCAGATGACATGCTGCTGGAGCTGCTAGATGCTCAACATCAAAAAACCAAGGCCAAGGCATGGGCATCCGCAAACTTAAGCCAAGGAGCAATATGGACCGTGGCCATCCAATGGTTGGCATGACCAGCTGGTCCCTTTCCTTCGGAGCCATGCGAAATACAAGAGAGGTGGAGTGCACAGGGAGCTCCGCTCGGAGCTGGGCCTTGGTCGTTCGGCCGAGTGGCGAGAGCGGGCAGGGCCTCTCGAGGACTTCGGCGTCGACGAGGTCGTGGCTCTTCAAAGCGCCAGGCACGCCCAGAGAGTATGCAACCTAATATCACAAGCTTGAAAACGAAGGCAGGGCTAGAGTCTAGATGCCTTCTGGGACTGTGGAAGCACGAATCAAAGGTGCGAACCATCTCAATGCGTCGCTCGTTTGCTCGCGGATCGCAGCGACCGCGCCAGAATGCCAATCCTTGGGCTTCCACGACTTGTGCCAAGTCCAAGCTGTCCAAGCTTTTAACTTTTTGCAGCCTGCATCCAACAAGCTCGGGTATATATAGTCTCGCGTCGCGTGTCGGGACACCCCCCCCACGGTGTCCCCACCGTGGTATACACCCAAAATTCTCGTGAGGGTCGTCACTTTTGTCTCAAAAGTGCCAACAGTCACAGGGACCCGGGATCCTCGTGAGTGTTGTGACTTTTGAAGCTATGCAACTTCGCGGCATGTCTAAAGTGGCGACACTCACCTTGATGGGCCATGGTTTCGGTTTGCGCCGCACCCAGCTGCTGACCCTCAACACCTAACCCCACCACCCAGAGGACAGGGGGGTTCGGGTGCAAACCCCTTACACCCAACACCCACCACCACACCACATTGAGGGAGGAAGCGGGTTTAGCGCTGAACCTGAAACCCAGAACCCACCACCACGCCACACCACACCACAAGGGGGGAGAGGGGGGGGTTCAGGGGGGTTAAACAAGCCAAAACCCATGACCCCACCACAGCGCGGGGCCGGGGCGTGGGACAGCATGGAGGCCGCGGCGGAGCCACGGAGCGGGCTGGCACGCACCCCCAGCGCCCCGTCATTTGGCGAATGCTCCCTCCTTTGGCGAACCCAGTTGACCACACATGTTTTTCCCACCCTCACATGTAGCGGTCGCGCTTGATCGCCTTTCTTATGAGCACCTTTCATGTGGCGACCCTGGTTGATCCCAGCATTTGGCGAACCCGGTTGATCGCATATTTGAATCCCACCTCGCTTCATTTTGGTTCGGTTAGTTGCATTTCTTAAACGTGCCCCCTGATTTGGTGATGAATCACGGTTGATCACATGTAGCAAGCCCGCCGCCGCATTTGGCGATCGCGGTACATCACATGTCTTAAGCCCGCCGCCTCCTTTGGCGATCCCGCGCACTGTCCCGTTCCGCGCTTGGCGGCTCGCTTCCAGCGTCCCGCATCCTGCCGTGGCCCGCGGCAGCCCGCGGCGCACGGCCCGCGGACTGCTTCAGCGGTCCGCTTGCCGCGATCCGCGGCCGCGGCCGCTTGGGTGCAAACCTCCCAACTGCATGGTATCCCCTCCTTTACCCATTATTCCCGGATTCCCCCACTTGGCTGTGCCAAGTTTCAGAAATGTGATGAATCCGAATCGCCTAAATGAAGGCGCGCGTTCAAGAAATGTGATCAATGAATCAACCAGGATCGCCAAATGTGGGCTAAGAAATGTGATGAACCGGGATCGCCAAAGGAGGCGGGGTTTAAGACATGTGATCAGAACGGGGTCGCCAAATGAAAGGGAGCGGAGTTAAGATATGTGATCAACCGGGTCCGCCACATGAGAGTACGCTTCACAACTGTAGATTGACCGGTTTCGCCAAAGCAGGGGGCGGGTACCAAGGAGGGATCGTGTTTCGGATATGTGATCAACCGAGATCGCCAGGTGCAGGGGGGGGGGGGGGTGATCAACCGTGATCGCCAAATGAGGGGGAAGGTTTAAGTTAAAGAAATTTGATGAACTGGGATGGTCAGCAGGCTGGCAATTGGAATCGCCAAACGCGGCGGCCCGGCCCCCTCGCCGCGGGGGGCCGGGCCGCAGCAGAAGGGGCCGCACAGGGTTAAGAATCGGCCTATCATGACAAGCCCAGACATTCTGCCTTGGCTCCGAGATATGCTTCTTTTCCACTCGCCAAGAAGTCCTGGCAGTGACCAACCTGGCCGGGCCCACAGTAGTCAAAGGGAAAACGAACTCTGAGAGGTTACAGAGTTACATGTGACAACAAAACTGTCTGTACGGGCAGTGATGGTGGAAGCAGAGCTCTCGAGGATGGACGGTTGCGCAAATGCCGGCTGCCAGGCCCAAGCTTAGATCGGGCCTCGCAATTTGCTTCGCAGGCAGGATGGATGTCAAACTCGACGCCTGGGAGTGTCAGCCGTACGCGTGCTCCGGAAAGTCAGAAACCCGCAGAAGCATCTCGCGACTAAGGCACAGTAGTCCACTTTCTTGATACTGCCATCCAGGGCAAACTGCCTTTTGTATTGGCCTCGCCAAATCAGGAAGCAATTAATAAACCCCCTCAACATTCTTGTTTGTTGGAAGCACACAAGAAGGCACATCCTGCCACCATCAAACAAATCGAGTCGCTGTTTGTGCAGTTCATTCGGAAATCGAGCCAGTCTTTGCACTTGTGCTTGCCGCAGTCCTCCTGGGTAATGCCGACCTGCAGCAGGACTCTAGACAGCAAAGACCACGACCACTGCGTTCTGCGAAGTCGCAACACAATCGATCGATGCCAAGGTGCGAGGTCGTCCCATTTGACTACTTTTGCTTTTCCATACGTGTACACGCAGTTTTGCTCCCCCGTCGGATCGGAGCCTTGCAACCATGGACGCGCTGCAGACTACGGTTCCCTCTCTTTGCACTTCATTGTCGCCTGGACTTGTGCTGTCCGCCGTGAAGCCATCTGCGCAAAGACCACCTGCCCAAACACCCCGCACAATGCAATTGAACCATGGACCCCACCCCATTGTGCCACCACCTTGGATGACAGTGTTATCCGTGGCCAATTTCAAGCAATGCGGATTGGGGTCGCTCTTGGAGCCTTTCCTTGCACGGCGAACTGAGTCGCAACAACCCAACCCCAAGAATTAAGAAGCGCAGCACACGACTAATCGGCCACAGGCCACAGACACCAGAAGCCGTCAAGGAACTTGTCCCAGGTCAGGTTCGGACACCAGTTGCCTCTAACGAAGAGCAAAACATTATAGGGCTCAATGCTGACAGTTTCAATTTTCACATGGCAAAAGCTTCCTCAGGCTGCATACAAGGTGCCGAGCGACATCCAGGCGTACGGCATGTCTCGTGGGAAACGCACGTCGCAGTGCAAGTTCTTGGCTTGAATGCTTTGGTGAGAACGTGCAGTTACGAAAACCTGGAGCTGATGTTGATGACAAGGCACTGTACAAGGTGCGATGCCGACGAAGTTGCCCTTGATTCCATCGCTGCTCTCTTGACGCTTCTTCATGCAAGCACAAGGACACCGTTTCCCAAAACTGGACTGCAGTCGTGAACGAAAGGTACGAATGCTCCTTCTGCTTCTTACTGGTAGTAATTGGTGTTCTTCCGTCTTGCTGGCTGAAAGGTTCCCCCCAGCACCGCTAGTGTCGCGTGTGACCTCCATATGTCGTGCTCCGCCCTCATGCATTGGCGACTTGGGAGCTGTCTCAACGGCGAGTTGAGTCGTTGCTTCTCCTCTTTCTGTATCTTTCTGGAAGGCATAAAGAAGGGGCGGGCCTACCGAATCGCGAGCCCCGGTTGACATATCGAAGCTGCTGAAGGTGTTGGGCCGGGATGTTACAAAAAAACATACCTGTCGCATGCACATACTCGTTTGAGCTTCTAACCTTCAGTTGTAAGCAGGCCATGAGAACACGTACATGGACAAATTCAAGGTGCCTTGTCTGCGATCATTGGCAGCTGAGCTGGATTTGTTGCCTTGCCCCAGTCGTAGGTCACGAATGCACCAAATTCACCCTGTAAAGCATCTGACCTGTGCAGAATGGTGCTCGGGTTTTTGATCCTGAACCGGTGGGCTGTGATCGCATCCACATGATACTTTCGACTTGTTCTGATCGGACTCTGCAGATGCTCGGTCAAGATCTCCGTGTGCACATACTTGATCGCACCGGCCAGGTCGGCAATGTCATCATCCTCCATCGGATGGGTGTCAACTGCAGCAGCTGCCATACATCGGTAAACGTCGAAAGACATGGGCTCGTCAAGCATAGGTGAAACATGGAGCGCCATCGGCTTGGCCGGGGCTGCTGGGGCTGCCGGGGCTGCCGCGGGTTTCACCGCCTCCTTGGCCTTCGGCTTTGCGAGAAGCTCCATTTCATGCTTCGATGGACAAGGATGGAAGTCCTTCCCGCCGCAAAATCGGCCTCAACCGCTGCAGGACATGAAGCTGCCACAGTCTACGGTCACCCATTGCAAAGCTGACTTGGGCCCCAGCAATGGTCATGGCCAAGCGCGCCACACCCAAGCCCAGGACAGGAAGCATCATAGAAACACCGCTGTGTTTTTGAGGACTCGCATGGGCACTTCGCGCTCTGGCCTTGGGTGACTGACGAGTTCTGTTCCTATAGCTGGTTTGCTTGCATCAACCATCGCTGCTGTCAGCCATGCGTTACCTGCCGAAGCTTCGATATGCTGAGCGCTCTGCCGGCATGAGAGGTCTTCACAGTCTTCACCTCATGGCCTCCTAAGAGCACGCTCGGAATGACCGAGGAGTGCCGGTCGGTCGCCGCAGGCTTGCTGGCCTTTTCCTTTGACCCTTCCGGATCTTTCGTCTCCAAGGTCTTCGGAGCATGATCTGGACAGTCTTTGAACTCGCCCGAACCACAGAATCTGCATTTATCCTTTCCTTCAGCTCCACACCCAAGTCCAGGGCAGGAATCATCATAGAAGCATTTAAGTCCAGACTTGCTGCAGTCGCACGTATCACCTGCAAAGTTTTCTAGACTCGAGACACACAATCAGACTCAAGCTGCACACGAAACCAGATGCATGGAGCATCATCGTCGCACCAGGAGTAGTGACAACCCCGATGACGGCTGGCCTGCTGCGAAGATCCACAAGACTTGCCACAGCGCTGCGGCGAAGATCCACATGGCGACACTGGCTCCAAGCACGCCCGTATCTCTGTATCCGGCAGTCCTCACCTAGTCACTGCAAAGTTGCATCGTTCAGCGCCTGAAGTTCTAAGCATCCTGGATCCTGAGCCACACTGCTCTCAGCGAGTTAACACAACAAAACGTCTGCTGTGCCTGACTACCCCGACGCCGTACGCATGTAAAGATGCAGCATTCGTGACATCAACGAGGTACAAGTCCTCCAACCAACCCAACGGTCTGACAGGCTTAACAGCTTGTCTTGTGGACTGCCCTTTCTTCAGCCGGCAACCAAGCACAAGACCTCAAAAATAAGTGCATATGAGTCGACGGACCGACCCAGCGAAAGGTCGCTTCTCGGAGACATGGAATGTCAGCTCGTGCTATACAGAACTCCATGGCGAAAGCAACTCTCTTCTGAGGGACATGGATCTTGTACGCACACCGCAAATGCTGGAGTGCAGCTGGCTGCGCTTTTTTCCCCACAATGGGTTACGGCTTTTGTGAGATCGCTGCGGCTATTTCTTCTCGCAACCTCCTTACTGCTGCATCATCACCTCGGGGCCCAGACTTGTTTACTGAAACTTCGGTGCCGGCCGATGCTTCCAAGCCACATGTCTGCGCTCTGGACTCCAAGCGCCCCACCTCCAATCAAGTATGGCAAACTTGCGGATGGACATAATTACTGCGTCACCACAGGCCTCCTCCGATGCTTCGCTAAAGCGTCGCAGGCGAAGCAGAGCCACCGCACGTCGGTACCGTGCTTTCCCATCATTGTCATCAGCCTGATACTGCTTGGCTGCCTAACTATGAACATTTCCACACAAACGCCCTGGCTTGTTGTAGAATCAGGGTCGAAAGCACCTGTCGCCTGCCGATTCTGTAAGGGTACTCTTCGCGGGCATCCTGCTACTTGTCACTGCAGCTGTCTGTGTCTGTGAGTGCGGCTGGAATGCGGGGAGCATTGAATCATTGAACATGAGTACATGCTGTTTGCGGCCGGTCAGAAGGAATGAAATATTCACAAAAAACGGCCAACGAGGCACTTACATCAAAAGCTGTGCCGTTTTGTTCAGCCAGACTCGATTCAATCGTCGCGATCTTCACGTTGCTGGCCGTGCATATGGCCGTTTCCAGTGAGCCTGCCGCCTTCAGTGACTACCTTTTTTCACTTGCTCCCCGACTCAGGGTTTCAGCATGTTCCCTCCTTAGTGCCTGGTGGATCCTTGTTCTTGAACCGGTGCAATGTGACAGAAAGAGCGATACGCTTAATCCAGCGCGAGGTATTCAAGTTGCAGATTCTCAGCCTTCGGATGTCTCGCACTGCCGCATACTTCGGACTTGGTCTTCGGATCCGCCTTTGCATTCGTTATGCCACTTGGTTTCTTCAGAAGAGCCCTCATGACGGTAGGATAGCGACAGACAAGTGACAGTGCCGACTTAATCTTGAAATCAGAAGAAACTGGTTCCTGACACTTCAATCGCTGACTTGTGGGAAGTGTTTTAGGTTGCTTGGTTGCTTAGTTGCGGATGGGCCGGTGTCCACCCGTAGAGCCAAAGCTCGCTTGCGTTTGGCAACATCCAGTGAGCTTCTGGACAGATGCCGGCAGTACAAGTGCACTGCTGTTGCGGCACCAAGACTTGCGGTGAGTACTCCTGGAAATTGATGAATGCTGAACAAGATGAGCTAAGAAACGTGGTTAAGCAATGCCGTGCCTTGTTGATCCAAAGCGCTCGGCAGCAGTTTGCCAAAACAGCGGAACAAATATGCCTCACTGCTTGTGACATGTCCTTAATTGGTGTATCGACTGCCTGTTTGTCGCCTGTCGTCGGGTCCGATGCTGAGTTCTGTGGCGCTGTCCGTCACCCGATGACTTTGCCCGTGCCCTCCTGACCTGGACCAACACTCAGTGGCCTTCGGCCATGCATAGCGGCCGCCATGATCATGTTTTTTGTGAACTTCACTTCGACCTCTGCCAGCACGATCTTTGCTGATCCACTCCCAAGGGATTTTGCAGTGAACTGGTGCAGTTCCTACGCCCGCAACAGTCGCACTACCAAGGTCACGTAGCCGCCAGCTACTGCTCGCACCTCGGACTACAAAGGATTCTTGTCAAGTCAGTTGATGTGTCTGTCTTGCTCATGCACCGTGTGCACAGGTCTTTTTTGTGGCTATCCTTCTTTTGGTCTTCATGTCCGCTTGTTTGCTTCTTTGCTTGCGCCCGTGCGCGGGCATGGACGTGTGTACTATCTGTCTGCATGTGTGCATGGTTCCTCTCTGTGCTGCTCTCATGTTCTATTGCTTGCTTTGTTCTTATTCTGGTCTTGCTGGTCTTGTCGGTCCCTTGTTTCTGCCGCTCGTTCCACTGACCCACCACGGAAACCCTGAATCTCAAGCCCTAGCTTCGACCCATTTCGCCGACACTTCAAAGTGCGTGTCCTGCTCCAGCGAGGCCCATGTCCTGAAATCCTGCAAAAACCGAAAAGCTCACCGTCAACCGGCTGCTTGCCAGCAGGATGCTCGCAAAACCTCATCCACACTGTCCAGAGCAGCGGCAAAATCGCCGACTGCAATCTGAGCAGCTGCCAAATTGCGGCGAAGATCCGCTAGCAGCCGGGACCTTGCGCGACCGGGGGACTATTGTCAAGGGTGACGGTTGCCTAGGGTACCACTTTAAGGAGTTTCGAGGCCAGGGCTGGCAAGGAGGCTTCAGAGCTGGTTTCGGCGCTCACACTAAAGGCTTAATAAACCCCAAACGAAAAGACCTGTGAACCCCGCTCTGAGCGAGGCACTGCTTCTCCGCTAGTGAGGTCGTCATCAGCACGGAAGCGTGGCTTGCAAGCTGTAGCGTAGAAATGCCTTGTGCATACTTGGCAGAGGCTTCTCCGGCCTGGCCCGCTCGAAGCATTTCGTTTCCCTCCGCTTTCAAAGCCGATGCATCTTTGAAGTTCTGTGCAAGGATCTGCTTCAAATTCCCCATATTACGCTGGATGTCTTCATCCAAGTCATATTCTTCACGATCCTTGGTGTAACCTTCCGTGGTCAGAAAGGCTGAGCCCGGGTCGGCATTCAGCCGCATCGCCTTTCCTTCCTCCGTCGTGTCTTCGTTGTCGAGCTGCAGAATTGCGTCGTCTGCATCAAAGCTTTTCCACTTGTCGTAGCTCTGTTTCATGGCATTGGAAGATGATTGACAAACAGAAGGTCGCTCCTGTACCGGACCTGGCTGCACGTCCGTTCCCAACGGAGCACTAGGCTGGAGTTGACGTGACTCTCGTCCCGAAGACTTGCTGGATTTAGCCATCTTTCTGGCCTCCCTGCGCCAATGGGCCCGAATCTGGCTGACTTCTTCCTCCGGCCCGGTTAGTGCATTTAAGTCGAGACCAGACGAGTCCATATAAAAGTCTGTACCTGCATCGTCGTCCAGCTCTGCCAGATCCTCATCGAAATCCTGCCACTTCTCATATTCAGCGGTCAGTTTGTGGGCTGTAGTTGATGCCACGTCAACTGCGATGGGCTTTACTTCCTGGCACTCACTGCTTGGATCAGCACCAGTCTCTTCTGGAACGACTGGTCTGGGGATACTGGCCGCTTCCTCGGCATCTATCTGTCGATCCGCTTTAGGCTCCTGGAGCCTCGCAATTGCTGCATCCAGCATCTCCATGGGCTCCAGACTGCGATCAATGGGTGGCATTCGTGGAAGCTCGGCTACGTCAGTCTTGGGTGTGGGACGGTCCAATTCGGCCAGCGCAGCATCCGCATCGAACTTGTCCCACTTGGAGTACCCGACGTCATAGGTGTGTCGCGCTGCCGTTTCTGATCCTCGGCATGTCTCAGCGGCAGGCATCCCTCCACTTCCGACACTGCTCACTGTGAGTGCGAATCCTTAGATGAAAAGCAAGAGGAAGAACACATCACGAGCAGTTCATGAAGACACAAAAAGGCGACAGTGCAAGTGTGTGCACTGCTGCTCAAAATTACAATGACAGGCTGCAAAAAGTGCAGGAGTCATGAAGCAAAGCCATTGCCGTGTAGTTTCATAAGGTATACACAGTGTAAACATGTGAACCTGCTTCTGCTGTTTTGGTTTGTCTGTGAATGCCGCCTCGTGCACTGAAGCACGATACTGAGGGCAATGGTATTGCGCACAAAGCAAAAGGAGAACCCAGGTGCTGTGCCGCTAACCACAGATCATGCAAAGCGTCTATCTTCATGGGCTTTCAGGGGCAAGCATCTGGCAACTTTTTTGATCTGTTGGCATCCTGGAGCAACTGCTCCATGCGCAGAAAGCAATGTAAAATCGATGAGTTTCATCGCCACCTAATTAGGCATCGGCAATGCTTGTCGGCTAAGGCTCGCGAAACGATTTGACATGCGAAGGGTGCCGAGTTCGGAAAACGGCATGACTACAGCAGCATGCTACACAACCGAATGCCTGGCTTCCACCCTAAAGCTAGCGAGTCTGTTCTTGCTTTTCTTGGACCTCATGAACCAAGGGCACCGAGGCACCTAGAGTCCCTAACAGGAAGCCGAACTATCCAAAATCAGACAGCCTAGGGCCGAGGGATGCCGAGCACCTAGGCAATGAAAACACCAGGCGTGCAGCGCCTTGAAACCGTGAGAGGCTTCGCCTCGTCGCCTCAATTTCCCCCCTTAGCCTCGGCCTGTGGCTCTGAGCCCCTCGGCCTTAACTTCAGGGACCTTGCAAAGGGGCCTTGGACGCTAGATGCCGTACAAAGCAGTCGCATTCGCACGAAGCGCCGTCGCAACGCGACGAAGGTCCATACCTGCCCACATCTGCAAAGCAAAAGGAAAGCGCAAGTTGCCAACCAGCCTTTCAGCTCAGCAACTTTGGCTATCACTTCTGGTATGAGGCCAGGATGGCTTAACCAGTGGCCTCGCGACCAGAGAGTCATCAAATGCACCGGGGCTCATCAAGAGAAAGAGCTTGAGCTCGAGCTTGAGCTCTGAGCATGCCATCGTGCAAACTGAGGCCTTGAACGGGAAGGTAGGGTGCGTCAGTCTCAACAACCATTCTTTCCTGTGCAGACGTTGCATTGCACAAATTCACACCACACTTCAATCTTGAGTCCAGCAAATCCTTGGCATACCTTTTCTGGCCGCATTTCTCCATGGGTAAGCTTGAAATCAAGCAACTGGCAGAATGGCTTTGATGCCGATTCGATTACCATCTCAATAGGTGAGGCTTCTTTCTAGATTTCCGCGTCAGCCAGCAGTGGAGGCAGACTGTCCCAATCCTCCATGGCCTCATTCGTCTGCCAGCCCCGGAGCTGCGCAAGAGACATCTGGCAGTGTTGTCCTTTTCTGGGAGTCAAATGCAGCAATGCCTGCTTCAGGTCCTCTGGCAACGGGGCCTGTATTGCACGAATGCCGCAAACATGTGCGAACTCCAGCCTGTATCTGTGAAGAAAATTGCGTGGGCACCAAATTTTGTCTGCTTCAGCTAGGTTCCTGCCGCTTCCTTCGTCAACCCAGGTCTTAGTGGACTTGTTGTCTTCGCCTTTCGCAGACCCCGGCTCAGCGGAACGGCTGGCTTCTCGCGCAGCTCTTCCGTACTTCGGGTCGCACACAACAGGATGGCCGACATGAGCTAAGTGTGCTCTGATTTGGTGCCGCCTGCCAGTTTGGATTCGAATCGCAACCAGACTGTAAGACTGCTGCTCTCGCATCAGGTGAGCCAACACCTTGGTCTTCGTCACTGAGGGCTTTCCACCACTCAGGTCGCTTGCGAGCGCCCGGCTAGGTGAGCTGCTGCCTGCCGAATCTGACCAGAGAACATTGGCCACAATCTGGCGAGTTGATGGTGCAACCCACCCATGGCAAAGCACAATGTAGTCGCGTGCTATTTCACCCAGGTGCAACTGGATCATAAGATGATAAAACGCTTCGTGAGCCTTGGCCACTAGGATCAAGCCTGAACTCGGCACATCCAGCCTGTGCAGAAACCCGTGCAAGTGCGAACTGTCCTTCAGTATGGGGAAGCATCGTACCTGAACTTGTGACCTCACGAAAGTGGACAGCTTCCTGACCCCGCTGGAGTTGCCTTGATCCACTTCCCATCCATGTGGCTTGTAAATAGCAAGAAGATCTGACGACTCGTGCAAAATCAAGGGTTCTGCGGCTGTTGCGTATCTTGGGAACTTTGCGGCGTTGCATGCCAACAGTGGCGGCACCCATCGAGGCTGGGAAACGTCATACCTGCGGCCCAATGCCAGCAAGTACTCTTTGCCTGACAGGAAGAGCTTTGCATGGGAGACGTTCAACCCCAACCTTTGTGCAAAACTTCCGGCCCACAACAGTGTCAAGATTGATGATGCCTCTGTTATGCAATCGCCGTGTCTGACATCCATATCTGCTTCCGCTTGTGTGCAAGCAGCGATCAGCTCGCATGCACGTGCCATCAACCTGTTTAGGTGATCATCTTCGCACACCAACATAACAAATGCCCAGGTGATGCTGGCAACGTCACGAAGTTGCAGCTGATCGTGCAGAGACACGGTGCTGCTCCACAGCCTGTTGCGAAGATGCCCATCCTCGGTCATGTGCAGAACGGCGCAGGCCCAGGCGAGGTTGGACAAACCTTGGGCAGTCAGATCTGGGACGGCCGTAGCTCGTGCTGCGAGGGAAGAACACAAAGCTTGTGAGTACCCGGTCCTGCCCGAGACCAACTTCTCGGAATGGGCAAGCGCAAAAGCCCAAGTGAGGTTGGCGGCATCCCGACCACCAAATTCGTGTAAAACATGTAGCGACTGGCCAACGGCAGCATCCATGAAAGGGTGTTGCTTTTGCTGCAGGGTTGCTAAAGCCCAAGCGAAGCTCGCCAAGTCTCGTGGCATGAACGTGTCTATCTTTGCAGTGGCTTCATTGGCAGCATGTAACATGACACTGCCAGACGCTTGTAGTGAAGCGATCGCCCAGGCAAAATTGGCCAAGTCATGGGCTGTGAAGCTGCCTAGCCTTCGTTGCGCGGCAGCGAGAATCACACCGAGATCTGCGCGGGCATGGCATGCGTGGCCCTGTCCATGGACCTTCGCCCTGGCAATGGCCCAGAGCAAGTTGCAAAGATTCTGCGGCACCCAATTCTCCAACTCTGTCGAAGCGGCGAGAATTTCAGGCAGGCACTGAACATGTGCAAGGCTCACAAAGCTCCAGGCCAGCACTGCAAGATCGCGGCCTTGCAAGCCACGACAATTCAGTCGGTGCCTCAAGTCTTGGATTAGCAATGAGAGCAGCGGAGCGCTGAAAACGGCTCGCATCCCGGCCGCCGCCCAGCAGAGGTTGACGAAATTCTTATTGGATTGCTCACCAAGGCGAGCTGCAGCTGCAAGGAAAAGCGCATCTCTGAAGTGCGGCTGCGGATGCACAGCCGCTGTTGCAAATGCCCAGGACAAACCGCAAAGATCATCTGTCGCAAACTCGTCGAGTCCCGAACGTTTTTCAACAGCTGCAAAAAAATCGAAGCACAAGCCACGGACCTCGACGCTGTGCGCACTTAGTTTCTGACCGCCCATCTTGGCCAGAGCCCAGGCAATGTTGGAGATGTTGAATGTCGAGAGGTTCTGGAGCTGATCCACTGTAGCAGCCAGAAGCTGGACCAGAAGCTGATTCACAACTGCATCGGGAGCTTCTCGAGTGCGGGCTCCGCTGGCCAGACACCAGGCAAGCGAGGACAGCTGATCCGGCTGCAGGACTGATGCCTGCACTGCGTTCAACAGACGGGTGCGAAGCAATAAGCATCGAAAACGGCGTCTCTTGGCCAGGTGAACAATGGCACGTGCTGCCCGGATCAGTTCAGGTTGCTCTTGAGTATCGGCTAATCTCCCAGCGCTCTTCATCAGCAGGCCAACGAATTCAGTTTCCGTCGAGTGATCAAAACTGGTATCCAACAGGTTGCAGATTGCATAGATAAGCCGCTGCAGATCAAGAGCCCTGAACCTTTGATCTCGCAGCTGCCTTGATATCTTAGAGCTTAGTGCAAGAAGCTGCGCGCCAGGAGCCTGGCTTTCAACCAGCTCGACGAAGTGGATAAGGTCAGCCGGGTCTGGTCTTGTCGAGATCGCAGGACCCACAGCAACAACTGGGCAGCTCCTTGAAGGATTCTTGATGAAAGGGTGGAGTTGCCGGTAAAGGCTCAGAGGCAACTCACCCCAGCTCTGAAGTGTATGCCTTGATCGCATAATGCCTTACTCAGCCACGAGGCCGATGGGCTTTTGTGTAAATCATCGCAACACATCTCTGGGACGGCAACGTTGCACCGCTTTGCCAGAGTCCGTGTGTGAGGCACACGAGTGCGAGCTTGTCCAACACCACGAAGCACCATCGACGAGAGCGGCAAATAAGATAAGACTGTCTTAGCAGGCTGACTGAGAAGCCAAAACAGCCGCTGAACGATGCAGCCTGCCTCCGTGCAGGGAGCTCCGCAATGCCACTACGCTGCGCTCGTTTCGGCTGAGGATCCAGCCAACGGGCACTGTCGAACGAGCTCCTCGAGAGAATCGCAACAAGTCTGGAAAGCTGTCGGCACATGAGAAAGGAACATTGATCCGGAGGAAACACTTGAAGTCGTCCCATGTGCCACTTGGTAAAGCTGGGCACCATGACCGTACTACCCACCATTTGCCACTGCTGGTGCAGATTTCCCAGAGGCACCGGTGTGTGAGTCAGTAGACTGCTACATAGTCAGGGGCCCCAAGACAGATGCTCCAAGTTAAAGAGTGCAGCACAGAAGTTGGATTCGTAGACAAACATGACCGGCGAGTGTCAAGGATAGACCACACTGAGTGGAAGAAGCTACCGGCGTGGAATATCAGCGTGGACATGTTGGTCACGCTTCACTCCGAAGCTCCTTAGCATGCGCATCCTCCATAGTCAGAATTCCTGGCATTCCAATATACCTGGGCTTCATGCTGAGTACATCGCAGAACAGACCTGAAGCCAGAGCTAAAGAAAGCCACGAAGTCTTCAGCCTTGGCACAGCTGGCTCCACTCTGCGAGCAGCTGCTTCATGAAGCTGATGCTGCCGCGGTGGGCGTGCACATGAACCTGCAATCTCTACTCCGACTTCCCCAATAAGCCAGGGAAACACAAGGTTAAACTTTCAGATTGCTACAAATGATAAGAATCCAAAAACTGACTGTAAAGGCTGGGACTGGAGAACTAAGTGCTGCAAGCTTGCCAGGTTGCGATCTAGACATACCTTAAAACTCGGCAGCATGGGCGCGTCCGTGCGCCTTGTGAGCTTTTGGAACTCTTCCGCGCATCAGCTGCAGCCTCAAGCATAGCAAATGTGGCCGTCTGCAGGGTGGAAGCTCATGCTGCATTCCGGGCACGTATCCGCGTCAGCGTCTCCTGCACCCAGGGCCAGTCAGAGAGTTTGTCGCATCTCAGAAACCCAGGCTTTGCCGAGGCTCGGCTGTGGATCACCAGAGGCATCGACAGCGAAACCGCAAGCTCCAGCCTGAGCTGGAGCGAAAACGAAATCGCTCGGGGCCTCGGGCATTGCTGCTGGGCCGCTGTCTCACGAAGACCTGCCGTTGCTGTTGGCGATTATCCTCATTCGGCCCGAAGTAGGGATGGGAGAAGTCCTCATTGCTGGGCCCAGCCACCGCATTCAGCCCTGCATGGGTGAACTAGGATGAACTTGTAGCTAGAGCCGCTAAGCCTTCTTCCGCAGCCTAGGTTCCAGTCCAAACTCGCCGAAGCCAACCACTTTCTCACCTTGCATCACGTGCAGCTTCTGACTGAAGAACGGCCCAGCGGCGCATCATAACGTCCCCGGGCACGCGGCCACAGGCTTTGATGTAGGACAGCAGAGTGGCCTCGAAGTCATCGGTGTAGAACCATGCCGCCTCCGGCAAAGCTGCAAGCTGCCCTGTCTGAAGACAAGCAGACAGAGCCCGCCTTCGGGTGGCAACCGAAGGTAACGAATACCCTTGGATGCCGGTGATCTGAATCCATGCGGGCGCGCGCACACACACACAGTGGAAGAAGCTGCCGCAACGGCAGGGTACGCACGGACAGTCACGAAACATCGGGTGGCTCAGTGCCAGGTGCTTCGCCATGGGGAGGGATTCGACGTCGCATCCTTGTGTGATGCAACCTTCGAAGCCTTAGTGCGATCAGCTGCAGCAGCACAAGCGAAGTGGACCTAGCATCCAAACTGCTGTAAACAAGTCAAACGAGGCATATGTGAAAGCGTCGGGAATGTTCAGGGGGCATGCGCTAGAGTTGGGGTTCTGGCAGCTTATCACAATCAAACCCAGCAGTACACATGTTTTATTACCAATCCACTGGCCTGCTCCAAAGTGCACTTCCACCACAGTGTGCAAATCTGCTATATCCTGTCTGGGCATTAAGCGCCGTTTAGATTGAATGACACTATTCCAGAATCTCCCCAGTCCTCAAGCATCCAGATCTCCTTCGTGAACCCGAGAGCTGCGGCTGCTGTCCTGCACAGGACATTTCCGCAAAAGAGGCCTTTTGAACTTTGCTGCAGCCTCTGGCTCGGCGTCAGCTCTGTCCACGGCCGGTCTTCATTCAGCGCTCGCATCCTCGCCAGATGGCGCGCCTCACCTTCCAGCGGACAAAGCACATGTTCTTGGATTACTGGAGTAGTCGGGGGACGATGGAACAATTGGGATATTCAACTTTCACAGGCAAAGGGGGAGCTCATGTTTCTGTTGAGGCGAGGTTCCGGATCCAAAGTATACAAAGAAGAACCGGAAGAGCCCAACACAAACACAAAATTATCGACCTTGCAAGGTGTAGACCGCGAACCAGCGAACAGGCGATGCTTCGACAAGGCCCGATGAGACTCGGTGCATGCTATTCCACGTTCCAAGTGTTTATTGAAATATTGCGGACGTGTAACGAGCACTTCTTCCATGTTGAGTTGGGCTTGATGAGTCTGTATGGACTGTTTCCAGTACCTGCCAGTTGCCATGTTGTATCACGTGCCCTTCGACTGCCCGGCAGCTTTTTAGCCCCGACAATCTGGAAAGGTCCGGGATTGTTCCGAATGATGGCGAACCCGATACAGCAAAAACCAGTGGTCCTGTCGCATGTTACAACCGAATCAGCTGGCAATAGCTTAAGCGGTTAAGCCCGGTTAAGCCTGGCACATGATACGCAAGGCATTTTGCCCTCCCTGTCAGCCTGAGTCCACGCTCTGCGTCTTCCAAGACTGCGTGCTCCAGCCATCCCAAGATCTCTGGGTCTCCCCCAGAACCTGGGACACAACAGTAACTGTTTCGATCTTTGCCCCCAAAACTCGTAGTACGAAATAGTGCGTCCAGGGCAACAACCTGCTGCCCTTGGCTACGTATACCCTTTCAATATGGCAGTGGTAAGCGGCTGTTGCCTGTGCCCTGCGTGCGTGCGGAGGGTACAGACTGAGAGCCACTCCATGAGTAGGGATCGTGTTTTCGTCTCCAACTCCTAAGCACGAAGCAGCTTCCCGCTCTGCGCCATGTTGCGTGCCAGCCGCATGTGCTTCCTCTGCTCAGCGTCAGACTTCCCACGACAAGCGTGGTAGGAGCCACTTGTTCCTGTTCCAGCCTCTCTTGCAAAACTCGGACAGCTATGAAGAATTGATCAGGTCTGAGGCATCAACTCGTCTCTGTGTACCCCAAGGACGAAGCTGCATTCCTGCTGCAGGACTGCGTGGCCATTGCTTGGCAAGACCAGGCTGAACCTCACATTACATGTTGAACCTACCTCTGGCTCACTGATAGCTGTCCCCAGGTTTGCGTCCAGTGGCGTCCTCGAGCAAGGTCGTGGCAGGCAAGACCGCATTGGACGCAGGGCTGGAAAGTCCTGGAGCCGCTGCCTCCGTATTTTCGACCTCCATCCATCCAAGCTCCGTCCACAATGCGAGCTCCTCGTCTGTCAAGTCCCCAGGCTCCCTTGGCGCGCATGACACTGGTGACCTGTAAGGTGGACATCAAAGGATTTCGTGCAGGCCGTGGCTCTTGTTCAAGCTTGGGACAGCTTGACGCCGCCGGATCTCTTGGACGACATCTTCGAGATGGCAATGAACATCGACCTCGGCAGGAGCAGGACGTGTCAACCAGGACTGGCATCCGCCCCTCCCTCAGGGATATCGAGTGGCATAGGGCATCCCGCTCCAGGAGGTGCAGCAGTGCGACAAAAAGGGCCTCGCAAGGAGTGCCAACACTTCCAGAGAGAGCAGCCCTTATCAGGTTGCGCGACTGGTGGTGGAATCCAAGCACACAGCAACGCGTTGGCAGGGGGCCAGTTCACGAGATTGCGGCGAATGGAAATGTCGGATAACCCAATCGAGACCATTGAAACCTGGGCCTTGTTGCCTTCCAAAGCCTTCTGCCAAGCGACTCAGTCCGGCTGGCATCCTGATGCCACTTGTGGTTGACGGAGGTTGCACTGACCAGCCTGATGGAATCCTACCGGTAGTTGCAGAGAGGATCAGAGAGGTTTTGCCGGCAAACTCTACCCATTGCACAAAAGGCGCCCAAGCTCTGCAAGGTCGACTCCACAGCAGTTACATCCTCGACCACGTCCGAACCTGCAAAAGCCTGCAGCCACACCTTTACTCTCTTGGTTCGTTCGGACGAGGAAACATGTCTTTCTCATGCCGGGGCCGGAGCGACGAGGCACTTTCTTCGGCGAGCTCTCCACGGCAACTTCACGGATGGGCTTCTTGCCGTCCATGCAGAAGTGGCCACATCAAGCTACTAACTCAATTTCCCATGTGAGACGGGACGATTTCTGGAGCTTGAGCAGAATAAGGGTCGGAACTATGGAGTGGCAAAGATTAGCAAAGGGTAAGTCAACTTGTGCGCACATTTGACATTGACATACCCTCATCACTCTGCACAGAATCTTTTGGCGGGAGGTCTGTATCCAAAAAGCAACAGGCCGTCTCCTCAGGAAGACCGCTCTCGGTGAATCCCTGGTACCTCGTTGACTTGACATGTCAAGCTCGCAAGTTTGCAGCGACAGCTCGCAACCAAGCTCCAGGCGGAGTCCGGGCACCGTCACCTCGTTCATCTCCACAAATGAACGAGCATACCTAACGTCAACAAGGAGACATGCCGAAACACGGAAGGAAATCGAGTGCAACTACCAGCAATCTTGCCGAGCCACCACTGCTCTCAAGAGTGTGGGTCAGCCAGCCGCCACACCTTGCTACTTCTGTATCCCTCAAAGCCCTGCGTGCCCTTGACCATGTTGCTGACAGGCCAAGCCTCCGGCCTTGTGTCAGTTGACAAGATGGAGAATCCAATGAAAATCCACGCGTAATTTGAATACGAGGTGTGCTCTCTCACGTCTAAAAAACAAGGAAGCCTGGAAGGCCTCCAGCTGAAGGTAACTTGTGCTATCTGTGATTGCTGCCTAATACTGCCTCTTACGCATTGCCAAGTGTGTCAAGCACGTTTCCTCTCCGGCTCACTGCCAGGAGGAAACTCGTGAGGGAGACAAGCACAAAGCCGGGCATTTCCGGCAAATTTCCAAAGCATTGCAAAGCTCACTTTAAAAAAGGAAGGGGATCTGATTCATCCCCGACGCTACGCTGCGGTCGGACCTGCAAGAACTTGCATAGCTAGTAAAGGGTTCGTTCCTGCATTTAATCTGGACCGGGGACAGTGTGCAAACTGCTCGTCGGCTCCTCATCAAGTCCTTTTGAAACCGGGGTGCCAGCGGCACCCTCCCGCTAGCGAGCGAGCTATAATGAGCTTGGCAGTGTCTCAGCAATCGGCACGTTGCGTTACTGCCAGAATAGAGAAGAAAGAAAAACACTACAGTCATCAGAGTTCCTGCTCGCCTTCGATGTCCTTCGGCGCAGGAGCGACGGAATAACAACTGCGTTAACAACCAAGTGCCAGAATATGCGGTGCGTGTGTGTGTGTGTGTCCTGGAGCTGTGGCAGGTCACCATCACTCCAAGAGCGGCGCAAAGGCATCTTTTCCACTTCCTGGCCATGTGCAGATGTTTCGAAACATCGACACTGTCCGCTTCATAAAACACGCGGGTCCTCATCAAGGAATACAGACCTTGGGCTAGCGTGAGTCTATTCGAGCAGTCAGTTCAACAGCGATCTCAACAGCCCTGTGGTGTTCGTCGCCGTGCCTTATCATGTCAAAGGAAATATGCTGGGCGCGACGCTCCATGAAGGTGCCTTTTACTCGCAAAACCACCTTTCGTTTCGGCTCGCATCCCGCAGACACCTCAGCTGGAAATGACCTGCATCGGGCGGGTGATTCGCTCGTGTCAATGTGACAGCGAGAATGAAGAGCCGGATGCAGCAATCACGCCAGGAGCACGCAGTTGGAGGAGCAGTCTGCTGCCGACTTAGCTTGCCGTCCTTGACAATTCAGAATGAGGAAACGCCACATGCTTCATCCTCTTGCGGCAGACATCGATCTTCCGCTTGCAGACTAGCTTCTCCCGGACACAGCGTTGACGTGTCTGACAATCCCATGTCGCTCATGGTGTCATTGAACGGATCGGATGTGCCATCCTCCCAAGCGGACAGTGAAGAACTCAAGATCCCAACAACCTCCTAAGGTCCAGCATAGCAGCACAGAAATTCCGAGGCGCCTGAGGTTGGCCCGACGAAATGCTGCGGAACGGTAAACCGCTTCGCTCTCGTCGGTCTCCTGGCAATGGCAAGATGCTGACGCCAGGGGTTCTCGAACGTGGCCGATCCTGCTAATGTTGACGACACCGCCGAGAAGTTCGAGTAGTGCTGCATAGCTGCCTGATTCGGGTTGTGTCGGCTCTGCTCCCAGTCAAGGCGAAGGCGTCTCGCCGAGGCTGCGGCTGCTTCGTTCTCCCAAATTCCCGTCAAGCCGCCCATTACATCGCAGCCTGAGCAGCCCCGCATGCTAATTCGACGGTTGCCACCCCACGCATGAAAGAGGCACAGGTTGAAGTCTCTGCAGTCATGACCCAGGACGAGGCCCATTTGCACTCCGTCAAGGGCCATGTTGTACTCCTCCTCCATGCCGTAGCCCATGAACGCCCTGAGCTATTTTGGATCTGGACAGCTTCAACAACCCTGGTCCACTGCTTACATCCCAACTTGGTCAAGGGCATTGTGTTTGCAGACGGGGACATGCCGCCTCCCCTCAACTCCTTCACTCCATGTGCGTAGCGGCAGGTGTCACCAGCCTGCGCACAGAAACTTACAAGCGCAGAACGACAGTTTCGAGTCTCGGCGAAGCTCCCGAACAAGACGTCCAAACAATCGACAAGGAAGCGAGAAGTATCATCGGCTCCTATGCATCTACACTTTCATTTTGCTCACTCTGCAGATTGCCTTGTGCCGGCCTAGCTGTTGCACACAGAATTGGGCTTGCTGCCATGTGTCATGCTTCCAACCTCGGAAGCTTCATTCCGTTGCGCTCTTGCCTGATGTGTCTCTGAAAAGCCGAAGGTCTCCGGTGGCCCGGCGGGCTACAGCTCATTTTTTCAGGTTCTATTCTGACATTTGTCATCCACTCAGGTCGGCGGCCCATATTAAAAATGAAGGAGATGTGGTATGATGTGGTGTTCTGCAAAACTTGACGGCGCAACCCTCATGCCACCAGCAACTAGCGGGACGATGTTATGCTTCTTGACATCAGTATGCATCAGCGCTGAGGCGCACAGAGGAGACGGAAAGGCATAATTCCTGATGGCTGAGCTGGCCGTAGGAGCAGAAACCGGCGGTGAAGAATCAAACTATAAGGTAAGACTAAGACACAGAGGATTCAACGAGCTTCACGACATCTCCCCTGTTCAGAGCCAAGGAGCGAAACGTGGCTGGTTTGTGATGCCTGTTTGCTGAGTCGGATGCTGGGCTGAATGACACACCTTGTTTTGACATGCAATGATTCACCTCATGATTTGGCACAAGAAACCATTCTGTGAGATCGGGAGTCTGATGCTGGGATAACCTTGAAAATCCATCTAACGAGTTGCAGCTGTCGCTCCTTCCGGAGACAGGTTCACTAGCTGACTATTCTGGTTTAAGTGCCCCAGGATGTGGCGAGCGATGAGAGCTGATGCCCATCATGCGGCGAGGCCTACTCAAAGGGCAGTCTGCACATCGGCTGTTCCACCCGCCTTGCAGTTGTTCGCTGCCCACGCTCGGCAAAGCTCTGTCTTGTAGACGCTGCCCGTAGCACGCAGCTCAGCATGCCTAGAAATGCACATCTGCGCAGTGGACGGGTACATCATGTATCGAACTGAGCTTCTTGGCCCGTGCGCAAACTTGCAGTTGGCATCATTGCACCTGCTCATGCAAATGGTCTCAAGGACCAAGAAAAACTGAATTGTTTCGCTGTGTCGGCTGGGGCCAGCGCTTCTTTCTAAAGAAGTTGACCTGTGTTCAGCATGGAGTAAACCGATATCACGCAAAAATGATGTAATGCCAGCAAGCTGCACAAAGCTTCGTCTTCGAAAGATCTGGAGGCGCATTGAGCTCTTCTCTGGAGTGCGCAAAAGGACATCCGACACCCATTGTGCACTTCTTCCTTTGTTGCCACGAAGCTCTAATTGCTTTGCTGAGCTGCAACATGTAAATTTGTACCTGTTGCGGTCCAAGGCACTTCTTGTGGAAGGCACACATCTTGGTCTTGTGGAACTGGCCACGGATCCTTGAATGCTCCCCTCACGTGCTGTAGTTTGAGCGAGGCCGTGCTGAAGCCTAGGTCCTACAGGCTTTTTGAAGACAAGCATCTGTGGGGAAAACTTGCCTGAAGGATTATTCATCATTGCCTGGCGGAGCGCTTGTGTTAAGCAAGCCCACAGGTGCTCAATCAAGTTCGATACAAATTCAAGAATAATCGTCTGGTTTGGGCTGATACCTCGTATCATCGTGTGCCTTCTGTGTTCGTCACACTGCAGACTCCGTCTGTCTGGCTGTTCTGGCCTGCGCACCGTTGATGGCCCAGGCCGCTGGTGTGGGCGTAGGAACGATCAGCGGGCCGTTCACCATATCACCCGATCCAACAAACCTGCTTGGTACAAGACGTGAGGCGAGCACGGCGAGGAATGAAGGGTTTCAGCTAACACGAAGCACGGAGTACAGAGTAGGTAGCAATATGGATGCGATTGAAGCGTGCCAAAGACAAGCTGCAGGATACTTTCGAGTGTTCTTCCACTTAAAGCTTTGCTGGCTGCAGCCCTGCTGCTGACTGAAGTGCGCGATGTTATTCTCCAGGCCCTGGATGCTGTATGGCTGGGCCACGCCCTCACTCGGGCACTGCCTCAACAAACAGGCACGATGACCACATGCTTTCATGCAGAGATTCTCAAGTCAAGTCGCTGGAAGTAACCTCAGCACAACAGCACAGCTACAGGAGCGTGCGACATGTTTACGACTTGCAGTAAAGGCACTTAAACACATGCTGGCAACAGCCTGCGGCGGTGGCCAATGGCTGCTATTGCGACAGTTGAAACATGTTGAAATCGCTGAACTGGGCCTGGTCTTCGAAATTGATGAAGACACATCTGCCACCCCAACCCTCGGAGGGCTCCTGGACGGCCGGAGGCTTTCGTGCCCCCAAGTGCCAGGAGCTGCTTGCCGTTTGCAGTCAAGTATCGGGAGGCATGTAAAAGAAGTTGTAGGTTCCAACGAAGCCCCAAGTGTCCAGCTGTCGCCTTCAAAGGCTTGAGACTTTGCTAGACAAACGACTGCAACTCAGATACGAACAGAACTCCCA